TTTGGTACTTACTGCCTAGGTCATGTGGAAAATCGTTTCCAAAAAGTCTGTTCTCTTTCAAGTACTATGTAGCATGGTGGTTTCACCTTCTAGGAAATTTGGAATCTTCATTCGAAACCTGCTTCATCTGTTCATACAACTGGAATATTTTGAAAATAAATTCGGAATTATTATATTATAAAGTGTTCTGGACTTGCAACCTACAAGTGTTATAAGTCATTGTCCATAAATGAAGTATTGACCTAATGGCATTTAACCTCAACCAAGTTAGGCACTATTTTGTTGTTCTTTGAGTTAATGTTGTTTATTGTTGTCAGGTTGACACATCTTCAGGGGAAGCTGATGAAGATGGTGTGGAGGATGAATACCAGCTAGAAGATCTTGAAATTGTTTCAGCTGATTATATGCTGAGGGTTGCAGTTTCTAACTTTAGGAATGCCTGGGAGAATATGGACCCAGAAAGTGAGCGTGTGGATGAGTATGGACTCGGGGCTAGAGAGAGCTTGGCTGAGGCCGTGAATGCTGTCACTAGTATCCTTGGCATGCAACCGTGTGAGGTGAGCTTCCAGTTCTTTAAAGTTTAAACTAATATTGGTCAAATAACTTGCCTGTTTTCCTATTCATCCTTGGCTGTTTCTTCGAGCATCACCACAACTGAACCCAAGAATTTACATACATTGTGTGGTGCCTTATGCGTTCTACATTTATGTTGCTGCTCCTGTTCTTCCACCATTATGGGATGGGACGGTACAGAATAATTGACTAATCGACAATACTTGGCAGTGGCATGCAACATTCAGTTGAACTAAATATGCTACATTGGAATCTATATGCTACATTTATGTTTTGTTCACGACCAAAATCTGCCGTACTAATCTTTTTGGTTATGGGAAATTTTTTATCTTTTTGTATGGTTGCCAATGTTTTGGCATGCCCACACCCCTTTGCCCACTCTAGTTTATTTCCTTCCCAACATTGGCCAAATCATGGGCAAGCATGATTATTCAGATTGGCCAAACTTCTTTGTAGGGTCATCTTGGGTTGTGAACTAAACACCCGACAACTGAAAAACTGAAAGTTGACTACAATGGTTACTCATGATTGCAGGGCACTGAGGTTGTACCAAGCAATGCAAGATCGCACGTTTGCCTGCTGTCTGGGGTGTATATAGGGGGCGTCAAGGTTCTTGTCAGGTTATCATTTGGACTAAGCGGGCCCAAGGAAGTGGCGATGAAGCTGGCGGTAAGGTCAGATGACCCCGAAGTCAGCGACAAGATCCATGAGATTGTTGCCAGTGGGTAAAACGGATGGCGGCATCTGCCCCTGCCAAAACCTGTGTAGAGCCGGTAAATAGTCTTCAGTATCATGTCAGAAAGAAAGTAGTTTTCAGTTTTGTGAGAAAATTGTACTGTACCTGTTGATGCGTCGGTGTTTACAGAATGCTCTTTGGCTTCCTGCGTACTGCTGCTCAAAAGTCAGAAGTGTATTGTACCCCTTGCGTTCAGCCGTTCACTGCACATTTATTTTCTGAGCATGTTTCTTCTCAAATGAAATATGTTATGGTGTATTGATATGCATGCTTGCTGCTGTAAATTGTGTGGGCTAATCTGCTAGTTGAATTTCTTCACTACTATACAGAAATGCTATTCATGCTTGCGCGGAAATTGCTAATGGAGCACGAGCTCCATGGAGCCTTTACTTTGGAAACTTCAAAAAACAAGTTTCAAAAATTCTGAGAGAAAACACACGTACTCCCTGGTCATTTTTAGTTCGCATATAAGATTTGTCTAGAGTCAAGCCTCGTAAAGTTTGATCAAATTTATAAAAAAAATATCAAC